ACTCCATTTCCACGCAAGTGCCCCTGCAGCACCCTGGGCAGAGATGGAGATTGCAGCAATGCAGAGTACGGCAATTCGCCTGGCAACAACACAGGGTATCTCCTCGAAGAGCCTGTTCTGAAGCAGAGGTGTTACAGTCAAGTCTCCACCATCACAGGTGGATTATCCAGCTTGTGTATAAAGCAGGCTGGCTCCCCAAGCAATGCACTGCCTCTGTGTAATTCTGCCCTCGAGTAAGCAAGTGAGTCTTACTAAACCCGGTCTCTCCAGGGGACCCTGTATCCTGATGCCCCAGCATTTCTGGTATCAGCCGTGCTGGATGGGCTCAGTGCTGTGTGAGAGCACATTTTTTTCTGGTTTTGGACCCAGGCAGGTTCTGGATGCTGCGTGGTGCTGGTTTTCAAAGGCGGTAAGCCTTGCCTCAAGCAGCTGCGCTGAGGCACATATTGCAGAGACACTGGATTTGTGAGATGCTCTTGGTTAGGACCTTAACTTTTCACCTAGCAAATCACACTTGACTTTAATCTCTCCCTGCCTCCCGCTGTTCTCCCCATATGCTAGCAAATTAGAAAGTCTGATCATGAAAGCTAAAGAGGAAAAACATTCCCAATAAAAGCAAGTGTCGTTTCCAGCTTCACTAGCATGGTCTTTCCCAAGTTCCTTAAGATTTTATTAAGATGACGATACGTGCAATTTGTGGAATCAATTGCAAAAACACAGCTGCTGGGAACCCATGTTTCTCCAACCCCAATCAAACTTTGGGCACGTGGTTCTCAAGCACTGTTTTGGAAGAGCTCTCAAAGGTAGTATAACAGCAACAGTGTAATTCTACAAAGTCACAGATTCAGGGAAGCGAGGGCCATTTAATGTGAAAAATCTCACCAGTGGTCTGAGCCAGAGGAGGACAGCTTTTTTCCAGTATACCAGATTACACACATGCAATTCACAGTATGCTTTCCTTATACACACAATATTTATCTACACTAAAAGGATAGAAAAAAAGGAAACATCCCAGGCAGTTTATAACCAAGAAAAAAATCTTGGCTGTAGCTTAGCCATGGAGTTTGCCATAACATAAAAACCATCTTTCTTGCCTTGGAGGATAAAGTTTCTGGCTAGTAACAAGCGTTGTTCTGTTGGCTCCTGGAGGAACAGAGCTGGAAGAAAGACTAAGACAACAAATCCACAGGCAACTAAATAGGGGCATGGGATCACCAGATTTTCCAGCTTTTTCTTCTCTCCGCACACGCTATTCCATTTGGCGGGATGTATTGGTTTTAATACACTTGGAAATGAGCAGAAGTGGTGCCATCTTTCCAGCAACGCAGGGTTTCTACTGTGACAGAACGGCAAAGAGGACAGGTCTTCTCCCTGTCAAACCAGAGGCAGAGGCACTCTTCACAAAACACATGCTGTGGAGACAAAAGGGCATCATCACGATGCGGGCAGGGGGTCCCTCTTCTCACTAAGTGTGCACACTCAGTAGTGTAACGATCCCAGTTCAGGCGGACAGTGCAGCTAATTAGCAGCACTCACACGATGTGAAAAATAAATCCCAGCACTACTAGGGCATCAGTTTGCCAAAGCTAATGATATGTTACTCTGCTTCTTAATATAGCAACAGAAACATGAAAAAGGCCCAGGACATGTGGGCTAACAAAGCAGTCGAGAGGGTTTTCTCTACCATGTTTCTGTCCTCAATTCCCTGGGTTATTTTACAAGTCTTTACTTAGCTCAGACACCCATCTTTCTTCCCCCTACTCATTACTGCATTTGTTTTTTTCTGCTCACATCACTCAGACCTAGTCAGGAGCTTCTACAGTCCCAGTTTCCCTTTCTCTATGAATGTCAGTTTTCACCCCTTATCTTCTCTCATTTCTACAGTGAGCCACCACAGGATTCTGCCTCCACTCTGCCTTGAGTATAAACAGAGGTCAGGAGGGGCGGCTGTCCAGCACACAACCCCAACTAGCCCCAGACTGGAAGAGCAGGAATAGGGCAAGAAGGGAGTATTGGAAGCTGTAAGAAGCGGAGACCTCCTCAACACATGTGGTGTCAGCAGAAATGTTACTCATCAAAATCTCCACTCTGATAAGCACATACGAAGATAGCTTGTCTGGGACTTACAGCTTGATAACATCTACACAGATGTTCACAGAAATAGTAAGAGGCACTTCTGATGCACAGGTGACCTACTTGCTTTAATTTGATAACCCTGTTACAAAGCAAGGGAATGTTAAAGCTCTCCAAAAAAAACTCTTGAGCTTTATTTTGATACCACAAGAGAGCTCCAATTCCATTCCCCAAAATGGCTGAATCATTCTGCCTAAGGTTTTCCTGCACGCACCCAGACAGCCAGAGACAGCCTCCAGGATGCCGAATTTCAACCCCAAAAGACAGAGCTTGACTGAGTTACAAGCAACTGAAGAGAAAATCTTGGGGAAGCATCACCAGTCTTGCCACGAGGAAATACCTTCAGCTGGCCCCTGACATATTAACGGAGCCCATGGCAGCATGGTGTGTTCAAAGGGGTTTTCACCAGCACCAGATTAGGGCTCAGAGCATGCCACTCTTCAGCTCTAGGTTTTGCCACTGTTTACCAAAGGAGAAACAATTCCCAGGTGCTGGCAGCATTGACCAACTTCTATATGCAGAACTACTTTTATTCCTGGCCAGGTGTTCAGAGGCCAGACCATGATCACACAGTGCTGCACCAGTTTTCATGCACCCTATCAGGCTCATTCTGGATCTATGCCCCTCTCACAGCACTTGCTCGTAATTCAGTTGGCCTATTGACTAGCAAGTTTCCACAAGGGTCAGATAAATATGTCGTGCATTCTAGAACCAAAGTCTGGATTGCCAACTGGCAGTCCCTGGACTACGAGGCTGGTCTTTTCCATCTCGATAGCTATGACCAGCCCCTAAAGAGTGGCTCAGCTATCATGAATCACTGGCTATCTGGAAGAGGGTCATAAATATCCACTAGGACCTAGATCAAGACCCAGCAAATGATTTTAGAAGTATCTCAGCCTCTCCTCAGCTGCAGAAGTTAACCAAATGAATGCCAATGGGGGAATCTGACATGGTAAGCTTGGGGTCTTACCTGGCACATAAGGATCAAAGGTTCCCTGAATTCTGCTTGGCAAATGGCACAGATGTCACCTGCCTCACTGCACTGCTGGCTGGTAGCACGAACTCCATAGGTCTGTTAGAGAGAGGTGGAAAAAAATCTCAGTGTCAAAGGGTTTCAAGATAATCCGGTTTGTGGCTAAGCATACACACAGATGCTGGTTTTCACACCCAGATTCCCTGCATGACCTGGGAAGGACACTAGTGCTATGTCACTGTGTATGGGGAAGGGAGATTTGGGGACCAGCACACCGAACAGGGAGTCTGGAGCTCTGTGTTCTCTGTTTTGTTTTCCCCTCGAGCTGACTCCATCTTTTAGTGCCTTCACTTGTGGAGCAATGATAATGAAATTTAATGAGCTCAACAGGGAGCTGAAAGGATTAATTCAGCGTCATTTGCAGAGGTGTTTAGATAGTGGGAGGTATTATTATTAGCAAGTTAGACAATAGAAGAAAGAATAACAGGGGCAGCACCCACAGGCTTCCCACTTTTTAAATACGTGAAATGAAAATGTTGCTTCTCCTGTTGTAACAGTAATAGGGACAACAGGAACATGCTGAGGAAAAAGCACCAGCCCAAGCCCACAGAATAAGCAAGGCAAGCTCTAACAAACTTCTAGGATATTATGTTCCTTTCCTCTACAGCCTTTGATTTCACCATTTTCAAACAGAAGTCACAGTACCTCACCGCAACAGATCTAAATATCAGTACTGTATAATGTGATGCCTGGGATCATTTCTGTGCGCTGTAGGATCTCTTTTAACGTCACTGCACATCAGGCACTATAGACCTCTATTTAAAGTCTCTCTCACCCTCTGCACTACAAAGTTTTGTCAGCTTCTTGCGCTTTTGGCCTCAATGGATTAATCCATATTACACAAGGCTTTCAATCAGACAAAACAGGCCAGACTAGCAACAATCCCTTACCACAGCTGGGACGGGGCAGATCGCTGGAAAGGTTCCTAACATCCCTGACACGAGATACCAACTTATCCAGCCATGGGATGAAAAAATATTTTATTCTATGATCCTGATACACTGCGCAATGTTCAACTCCATCATTCAATAGTAACAAGGTTCCACCTAGGAAACTGGCCTAATACACGACTCCTTACCTGTGGGGTGCAAAGGACCTTCAGCGCCTTCCGGACACTTCCCACACGACCACAGATGTCAAAAGACTGCAATAAAGATATTCCATTTTAGATACTTTTCACAAAATGTGTGTTTGTGTGTGCACCTGTGTCTGTGTGTGCACAGTCCAGAAACTCAGGAAACAGTTTCTCCAGATGGATACTTGGAAGGAACAAAGATCCTAAGTGACAACAGTGCCAAAAAAGATTTCATGGTGATCATGAAATATGTAATAACTGTGAATTGACAGTGCAGAAGGGTAGCCAAAAAAGCTCTGGTAACAATGGACTGCAAATCAGTGGGACTTTACAGGACAGAAAGAGGAGCAGACATTAGGGGGTTTTGGCTGGGTAAATTGCCCAGCCCCACTAGGCGGGAAAAGGCTAAACCGGACCCATTCCCACTCCGAGAACTGAGTACCTGAAAAGCCCAGAAATGAGGTTAGAAAATATTGTGGCTAGCTTGAGAAAGAGGGAAGAAAGGGTGCTCTATTCACAAGGAAAAGGCAGAAAACTGCTTTCCTCTGGGGAAAGGGGATTGCCAGGGCTGTTCAGCTCTGCCACACAGCTCGAAACATCAGGGCCCAGATGATATTAGGAAAAAAGGAGTGGGAATTGCCTGTCCTGCTGCAGAGAGTGAGTGGAGTCAGTGATGAAATGCTACCAAGAGAAGAACCGCCTTAGGAATGAGAAGCAGGACTGAAGCTGAGTTGCTCCCATCCGCCTAAAGAGTGAGAAACTTCAAATGCCAGGAAGGGAGTGAGTTTCCAGCAGCTTGGTGCTTTGGAGACGTCCAACAATGGCCAACAGCAGGGGCAACACCAGGTCCTTTTCTTCCCCCCTCCCTCCATCGCTCCACCAGCAAACATGATGTAACTGCATCTGGAGAGCAGCTCTCATTCTGGGCTCCTCATTAAAGACTAAAAGCAGTTCAGAAAAGGGCAGAAAATGAGCTTGCAGAAAATGATTTCTGAAAAGACATAAATATTTACAGCTTGGCTGAGCAGTACAAAAGTGGGGGGAAAAGATGATAAACTGCCTACAAATATCAAGGGGCTGAACACCCTCCGCATTCTTAAAGTGAAAACATGGTACTACTACTAAGAGGGAAAACAACTACCTGTATGTATGCCAGCTTCATCTTCCCTACCTGGCAGGACTCAGGGAGAAGGGCACGATGAACTAGACAAGATATGAAGAAATGATTGTGCAAAGAACAGCCCTGCATTAGCTGGGAGAAGGGCCAGGTGACACAACAGGACCTTTCCATTTCTAATCTGTCTGAGTGAGGGCAGGGGAATATGCGGTGTAGAATATGCAGCGCTGTAGTGGACCAGCAGTACAAAGGCACCAGAATGCCTGGAGCTGGCTTTCTATTTTTTTTTTTGGTTAGCATGATTAAGTGGGCTCACTGCAGGGAATGCCAATGAGATCATCATGCAATAGATGTGGAATCAAATGAAGGCACCAATAATGCTTCCAGTCAGCACGTCAAAAGGCTCCCAGGGTCCTTCCAGTAATGCTTCCAGTCAGAAACTAGCACTTGAGGCTGCCCACTACTACAGACTTTTATCTTCTAACAAGGACAGAGATCAGCTCTTTCCCACAGTCCAACTGACAGCTTTTTCGGGTTGCTTTGCTTATAGAGTGACTTCTAATGCCTTTGCTCTGGCTCTGATGGCCCCTCTTCTCCCAGTCCATTTACCCGCTTCAGGTTTTTTTTTTCCTCTGGAGTTTCCTGTACCCCCAAAAGATGCATGTTTCAGTAGTCTCTAACACCCATTTATCACCCCATGCACTGAAGTCTATGTTGCATCAGCCACCTTTCTAGCAACAGGATTGCAACAGTTGGGTTCAGAGACAGTGAGTGCTTCTGTTGAGGACAGGGAAAAAATAAGACTTGGATGCCCTTACTTATGAACATCCGGGATTTCTTTGCCAAAATCAGAGGCTGATGTTTACACAGTCCAGACAGAGACACCAAGACAGCTCCCATCAGCTGCACTGCATACAACCTTCTGAAAGCTGAGCCTGCCCTTTGGACAGGGACAGGGGCTGCAGCCCTAGCTGAGTCCTGGATTTTTGCCAGGAGCACAGAAGGTCTGAGTGCCAAATTGGCTTCTGTGGTTTTTCTAATGTGGTTTGTGGCTTTGCTAATGTGGACTCCTTTGGGTATATTTTCAGTGTCTCAAGCAAGGAATCAGACCTGCAACTCCTGTGATTGTAAATGGGACGCATGCACCCAGTATTTCACGATCTGTATTGGAAGAACGTGCTCCCACTTTTCTGTCACTTCCAAGCAAAGTCTCTAACATGCAGAAGTCTCATCCTAACCTGGACACACCTGGGGTAATAAGTAGTTGCCACATGTTGACCTGGGACATGCTCTGGGACCTATCCCACTTCAGTTGGCCTATCCATCCACTTACACCTCTGATAAACTAGAAGAATTAAGGAAGAAACATGAATGTTAAAGCCCCAGGCTGTAGCCGAGGCACTTTCACACAAGCATGCCCCACAGTCCTAGTCCTAAGTTATAGTCAAGACCAGTAAATAGCTGTCTTTCTCTCCCCATACAGCTTCTAAACAACAGATCAGCAGAATGTTTAAAAACAAAGTTGCTTTTCCAATCTAGATTATCACAACATCACCTACAAAGGCTTTATAGCAGAGAACTATCAAGCCAGCCTATAAAGGACTGCTTGCACCCATGTATCAGGGCCCTGAGTGCATTAATAGGCCTCATGGTCCTGATGAGACTCACCTGGGGTCTCCACCCACAATCCCTGCCCATGAGCCCAGGAGCTCTATATAAGCTCAGCCCTGGAAGCCTCTGCTCATGTCTGAGCTGTGCTGGTGTTAGTTTCCAGCTCAATTATAGCTATGTCTGGCTACAGATCCCTTTGATGGGGACACCCCAGTGCATGGAGTGACTTCCCATCTTCACCTTGAGCCTGTCTCATTGCTATGGCTATGCCCTGCAATTGCTGGACTGTGTATGTGACCCTTGTTACCTCCACCAGGCCTGATCCTGACCTGTGAACTGACGTTGAGGCTTTATCTTGGACCTGCCTTACTACTGGAAAATCTTGACTCTTTGAACCTGGCTATCATCTCCAGGCCTGCCCTGCTTGTCTTGTTTGGGTGCTGCAGGGCTGGGCCCTGGCTGGTGAGGCCTTTGCCCTGCCAGTTGTGTTTCTGTGCTTGGCTCCCCTTCCTCCGCAGAGCAGATGGCTTCCGCTGCTTCTTCACACTATGGAAACTTCTTCAGAGGTAAGAAATGGCATACAGAACTGCAGGTAAGCATCCCTTCTCCAAGTGCTGAGTAACTTTTGCAAGAAGTGACACCAGAAAGATCCCTTGAAATCTGTCCTTGTAACTGTGATCTGTATACCTGACCTCACAAGCCAGAAAGGCATGGAAGGGTTGGATGCTGTTGTCTAGAGAGGATTCAGATAATGACATATCTTTGAAAGAGACAACAATCCTCTCTCATAGCATGGAGTAAAGAGTAGGAAACACACAGCTCAGAGAATGGGTGGGTGTGCATGGAACTACACTGGTCTCATGTGCCTTCTATTCTGGCATGCTTGCTCTGTTTCTGGTTTGATTGCAGACCTGCATGACCAAGTCACTTCCTGTGACCTCTGCCTACCTTGGCTATGAACCCTGTGGATTCCTTGACAGCAGGGGTGGCATTGTCCCATTCCAACATATGGCTGCAACTGCAGCCACATCTCACATAAGAGCTACAGTATGATTCTGTATTGCTTAGCAGTCCATTGCTCAGCCTCTTTGAGCTGTTTTCAGCTGAGATATGTTATTGCTTCTGTATTCTTCAGTCTGCTTCTGCAAAGCCATAGCTCCTTTCTCCTAGGCAGAGACAAACATCAGGGCTGCAGGAAGCTTGACTCACTTGGCCTTTCTCAGAGGGATGGATAACACAGGTGTATCATTGTTTGCTTCAGCTACTGCTCTCCCCCTAGGCAGGGTTCAATACGCACAATTAGAAATACAACTATTTTTAGACCTCAGACTTGGGACTCTTCAAAATAAGTCACATCCATTCATTTACAACTGTACAGGAAGACTTTGTGCTCTTAACATTCTTATTTTTGAGGAAACATTAATTACTCTTGTCCATCACTGAGATCCAGACCAGGACCTAGAAAGGAGCCAGAACTAGCTGTCTTATCTAGGAAGGACTTGTATGACCCTCTCTCTCCCTGCTGCATTCAGCACTGAGTGACAGAAAACCTATCCTGCCTTGAAAGACAGAGAAAGGCTTATAAAGAAACATTTAACTGTCTGCCACCTTCCTTTCAGTGTTGCATCTACAAGTCTGGAGACGGTTAACATCTCTTCCAGTACTCGTCCCCATTCTCCTCTAGCCTTATGGAGAGGTATTAGAAAGCAGCAATGACTTCATAAGCCTGATGCAACACTACATGAGCAGTCACAGATCTTCCTCTAGCTCACCAGTGTCCACAGACTGGTGAAGTAAAAAGCTTTTGGCAACTAAAGCACATGGTGTTCACAGTTGCTGCAGCTTCCCTTCCTGGGTAGTGATAGTAACAACCAAAAGGTGTATTTGTTCCCCTCAGCTGTGCTTATTTCTCTGCTCTTGCTACAGCTCCCATAGAGGTTATTAATAAAGTGGTACTCACTTTGCAGAGGCTATACAGGATGATGAGGATCCCACCTAGGAAGTAGCTGCTGGACGGATCATCTCCCATGATGTATTTATACCATAGCTGGATGGGCACAAGTGAGCGGAACAGCTGGCTCAGCTCCTCAATAACCAGATAAAACTTTCCCTGCAAAACAAACAAGTGATATGTGATTACTATCAGGAAGTCAAAAGAGCACTTAATAGGTGCAGGGCTTGAAGCTTATAGGACTTGTGGTCACTGTCAACCTACACACTATGAAACAGTGTGAAGACCAGTATTCGTGAGATGCAGCTTGCTTTGCAGTTGCTCAGCTTGGTGCCTAGAAAGAATAACTATCACTTCACTGTTTCTTAGTGTTCCTCTTGCTCTGTCACTTACCCAGCTGTTCTACACTTTTGAATCTTAAACTTTTAGAGCAGATTATGAATATACACCTTATTGCATATCTGTACAATGTGACAGAACACTAGCAGCAGAGGTTAAGACTTACAGGGATGAATATGATGTAAACTGTAGATACTATTAATAATAAGAAAAGGAATGCAAGGTAAGTCTCTCTGATCCTATACCCCCTTCTGAAGGTATTTAGAATTTTACATTTTATTTAAATGTAAGGTGACTTCAGTCTTCCTGACAACTCTCTACATCATCCCAAAGTATCAAATCAATTACCTATTTGCCAGTATCCTTCCACTGAGAGGTGTGTTGGATCTTGTACAGTGTACAGACAAAAAGGTTGGCTCTGAAAAAAAAAACCCTCAAGGCATTTTAAACTCAGAGATACCAAATCTTCCTGAGGACCTTAAGGAAGAAAAGGAGGGGAGGGGCAAAGCATGCTGGTTGAAGCACTTCTCTGTTAAAAGAGACTCAAAGAATGGGCAATGTCCTTCGTAAACCTTCACCAAAGCTGTCCTTGCTGTTCTGGCATTTACTCCAATTAGAAAGCTTTCCTTCCTTGAAGGACACCTGCAAGGTAACATAAACTCCCTCCTGGCTTACCAAAACCATGAAGGTGGAACAACTGAAATGGATTTTTCTTACAATTTAATTTCTATTCTATCTAAAGCACTCAACAATAGGGCTAAGAAGCTGCCTAAGTAAGGCTATCTAACCTGGGGCCCCCCAGTTTTAATGAGGGCTTGTTTATGTTCCGTCTCACCCTGTTTAAAAGGGAGAACTGGTGACAGGGCAGCAGGTCAGGGTGAGCTGTGAGCCCAGAACTATGCTTCATCTGCAATGACATTATCTAGACTGAAAGATTTGGCTTTGACATGTCAAAATTCTTTTACTTGATAAGATCACGGAGAAGGGGAAATTCCCCTGGAATTTTGCTGTGTTGTCCCAGTTAGCTTTGTCATCAGTGATGTCATCGCAGGTCACTCGTTAATTGGTGAGATTCAGAGTGGGGATTAAGTCCTCCGCAGTCCACAGGCTAGCAACAGCTAGCGCCCGTCCCTAGGGTCTGAGAGATGAGATCACTCGGCAGGCCGTCCTGCTGCACCGAACAAATCGAATCCTTCAGAGAGCTCTGGCATTCTCATGATCTCATATCCCCCCGGGGACAAGGAGTGAGGTCACACCAGTGGTTGTTGCTAACGGACCTGGGCTGCTTTCTTCCTCTCCCCCCATCCCCTCCTCCTTGTTAATCCCAGGTGGCATCACATAGCAAAAATGTAACGGCAACAATCTGGGGTCCTAAATGCAAGCAATTAATTAAATTAGCACAGAGGTCTCTATCCAGCCTCGTGCTTCCATCCAATCATTGTTTATTTCAGGAGCCTCTGTGACAGAGGGTCGCAGTCTGCTAATGACTACGCTGTGCCTTCCTCCCCTTCTCACAGGCAGCTCTCCGCCTCTCCCTCCTCAGCCAGCTCTGATGAAAGCCACCAGCAAGCTGAAGGCAGCAAACTGCTTCCTCTGACTTGTCCCCCCCACCAGGTTTATCCTCATCTTCTTTTATTTAGCCTTGCTCCCCTAGCGGGCTGGGCAGGGACAGGTCACTGCTTACTTTCTCATTGCATCAGGTGGAAGCTTCGGATTCAGCTTTTGGGGCATCAAAGCTGAAATTCTTCTACAACACAAGTTTGAGGCACTAAAACCACTACAGCCCACAGCAAGATGTAAGGAAAGATGGGTCACAGGCATCCTTAGGGGTCCAGACAGGCTGGGGAAGTAGAAGTGGCAGAGGGTGACTCTAAAATGAACAGCAGCAAGCAACAAATTTCAATTTTTCTAACCACAAAATCTCCACCCTTTACAAAGCTTTAATCATTCCTTTATCTAATGTGGATTTTCAGTTTTCAAAGGTAACTGCAGGGTATCAGGGTATCTTAGCAGCTAGATACTTGTTAACACTCTTGCAGGAGTGCAGTTAACTTTTAAATGGATGCATCTCCCTGTTCAGCCTCTGAACACCACTCACTTGACCATTTAAGAGAGGCCTGTTGATAAGCTTAGAGCTTGGCGTGATTACAGCTAGGAGGAAGGAAGCTGAGCATCACTGAGAAGAGAACTAGTGCTACAGTAGTAAATGCTTACAGAAATGTGAAGTCTTGTCAGGCATCTCAGTCCTCAGTGCAACACACCAGCCCTTTTTTAAACCAGGGAAAGTGCCTGGAAAATCAGAAGTAATTCTACAAAGGGCTGCAGCAGAAGTGGGGTCTTCCTTTTGAGCCAGGAGCTTAGGAAACAACGGTTGTTCCCTGTAATTTCAGCAGCAAAATTTACCCTTCTGATAGCAATTCTAAGCACACTCAATATACCTTTTTGTCTTCTGCTTTTCAGCTGTGCTACATCTTGACTATCTAGGGTGAAGTTTTCAAAGCCAAATCTCAAGCTGTATTTTGTCTGAAAACTTCAGCAGAAGTATTTCAGCTGTTTCTCATCAAGATTAGGAAGAAGTGTGTTATATGAAGCACAAATACAATTATTTCTCCTGTGCGCGTGACTTGGAACAGCAGCTTGAAATAAGGGGAGGCCTGCCTCTGTTAAGTGACTTTTCCTATTTCATAAAAATCCATGTAAATCTGGGAACCTTCTCTTGAATACATAGAGATTGAACAGCTCTCTAAGATCAGGGAAAGCTATTTTGGGTGAGCCTGTGAGCCAGACTCAATGCATGGCTGGACTGTGCAGGAGCCAGCCCTCCAGAGCAAGCACGTCACCTTGCTAGACTGCAGAGATGAAATAGGTCATTACCCGAAATTACAGCTCCTGGTTAGGGTACAGTCAGACACCCGAAAAGGGGCTCTGCTCTCATCAAGCCCTTGCAACAGGTTGGTTAAGCCTGACTCAAAGGCAAGCAGCACAGTGCTAACCCTGCTTCCTCTGTAGGGCCGGTCAGCGTAATGGCAGGAGTGGGTTGTCAGCTCTTATCAAACACTTCGTTAGCACAAGTGGCAGAGGACTGTGCTGTGGATCTAATTAGAGCAACTCTGCTGATGAGCCTTGTGATACCAACTGATGAAATTTTGATTCCTTTTTTTTCCAGAATGCTTTGTTAAAAACTAAGTCAATGACTTATGTATAACCCTCCATTTTCCTCTACCTCCTTTTCCACATAAAGATCACTTTTATACTTTCAATCAAGCACTTATTTTGAAAGCAGAATTCAGGATTTTCATACAGCTGCAATTTTCCTTCTGTACATGCAGTATCATACAGTCCATAATTACGTGAACACATTTTTTCAGAGGGTGAGTGGTACTCATTAAGCATGTGACTTTTTAGTATTTTGTTATATCCTCGTTACCTGACGGCAGATCTGCATCCTATCACTTCATGCTATTTGAGCTCTGCTCAGTGTAGAAAATTACTAAAATTTCTTCAGTCCTTTTATGACATCACCACTACAGTAAAAGACTTTTTTTAAAAAAAACTACTTTTCACATTGCTGACGGACATAAGGAGCAGCTATTCTGTGTTTGCTAAATGAAAACTTGACATAAGGAAAGACTTAGGTTAAGGTTAGGTTGTTTTGGTGTCCAAGCTGAGATGTCTGGGATTAGAACTTTCATAAAGCACTTAATTTTATAGATCACATTACCATCAAAAGCTAAACCACTGACTTCAGTTTGCAGCTGTACGCGGCTTTTCTAGAATCACACAGGAATTATTTGGCAAAGAAAAGGATGGAATTTAATTCTCCAGTGTAGCGTTCAACTTTGAACTTGTAGAACATTCTTCTTCTTCCAATGGTCTCTTTGTTCTCTATGCACTTTCCAGTTTTTATAACAGCTTCTTTCAATACCTCACCCTGCTTCATCTGTGGGGCACAGTATACACTGGTGATGGATGGAAGAAATCTTACAGAAAAATAACATGGAATCACATAATTAAAAATTGAATCATAATATATACACACCAAAGGGGGCAAATTACAGCTGCAGAAGCAATGCTAATTCTCACATAGCGTAACTGAGCATTGACTCTGTAGTCTCTTTGACATAAGGCATTGCATAAGTGTGCATGTGTGCCTCCACAGAAGGAAACAGAGGCACGCTAAGGTTTTACACGGCAGAATTAAAATGGGATGCAAGAGAAGTGAGACAAATTGCAATGAGGCAACTGTAAGTTGTGATTAGCACTCAGGGGAAGTTCCAAGTCTCACTTGTTCTGCTGCCAGCAGCATTAGGACATATTCTGAAACAGGAAGATGCTAGAAAAAAGTTTTGAGACCTGCTGGCAATTTGGATCAGAGGAGAGCAGGCTCTGCTGAGATTGCACATCATATTGCCAATATAAGGAAGTGTTGGGCAGGAGCAGTAAACAGGATTGTGGCACAGAGGATGCTGGTGAAAATCCATGCAAGACTAATGAGGAGTAATTCCAAGGTGGGACTAGAGGGGAAAATGAGATCTTTTTGTTAGTGCACAGCACTTCTGAAAGTCACATCTTGGATATCTTAAACTGGGAATTTAAACTTGGAAGGCACCTAAGACCAATGGTTCCTTTAAAAAGTTTAGTAGCAGTGACTTTCAAAGTGTGCTAAGGAGAGGGACAGAAAAGAGTCCCAGTTCCTCAGTACCTAGTCTTACGCTTTAGTAAGTCTTTTTCTTTCATAAGTAAGGAAATTCCATTTCTGGCTCTGGAACACCACATCTGTCCCAGGCTGCAAGAGGGAAATGTCTCTGCAGAACTATCAG